ACCGCCCGGGGCTTTGCCGACGGCCCAGCTGAGCGGGGGGCCCCCGCAGCACCCCCAGCCCTGCTGCTGCTCCTCGCCCGCCTCTGCCTTGATTATGAGGCCACCACCATCAGCTACATCCTCACTCTCACTGATGAGCAGTTTCCCCCACAGGTGAGCCCCCCAAAACTGCTCCAATTGCCCCAAAAATGGCCCTAAGGTGACCCTAAACGTCCCTAAGAGGTCACAAAATGGCTCTGCACCCCCCTGTGTCTCAGTATCCATTCAGGACACAGTGGTGGGTACTATGGTGTGCATGGAGGCATGGGGATCTTCCTTCTGCCTCCTCCAAAACATCCCTGAGTGGACCCAGAATGGTCTGATTGTCCCCAAAATGGCCCCAAGGGGGTCCTGAATGGGCCTACGAGACCTCAAATGATCCCGAGATCCTCTGTGGCCCCATGGCCCCCCAGGGTGTTGGTGTGGATATAATGGTGTGTTTGGAGGTATGGGGATCTTCCTTCCATCTTTGTGTGCCCCAAAATGTCCCTGAGGGACCCCAAAATGTCCCCAAGTCCCTCCCTGTGCCCTGCTGTGGCCCCATGTCCATCCAGGATATGACCCTGGGGATAGCAGTGCATGTGGAGGCAGAAGGGTCATTACCAGCGCCAGCGTCTCCCAGATGTCCCCTAAGGCACATCAATATGTCCCCAAGGGGTTTCTGCTTGTCCCCAAGTCCCCTCAGATGCCCCACAGATCTGAGGATGACAGTGATGCTGTTGCAGGTGGGGTGGCCCAGAGAGCATCCCGTGTGTCCCCTGATGTCCCTGTGCCCCCAGGACGTCAGATGGTGGAGGCACGGGGGTGCATCTGCACATGTAACCCCAAGCCACAGGGCCAGTGGTGACGGTGGGGATAGCGCTGTGCACGGCTGTGTTGAGGGTGTTGCTACATGTCTTCACCTGTCTCCGTGTCCCTTGCACCCCCAGGACACAGGCCCGGCGGTGACACCAGGACCGGCACTGTGCGCAGAGGCGCGGGGGGCAGCGCAGCGGCTGCTCGACCACTACGTGCAGGTC